TCATGTCTGCATCTTGTACAGCAAATAACCACTAGGGAAGAGAGAATGCAATGTGTTAATTATTGAAACTATCCTACCAATTTGATTTGAAACTATCTCATTACTATTTGTTTCTCAATAAAATTATGGGGAAAAAAAATAAAAGGCAACTGAAAAAAAGGAAAAGGAAAAAGGAGGTCTGCTTATGTGTGACTTACAGGGTGGCGCTGAGTGGCCCAGCCCTCTGCCTGGGCTCTAGACTCGAGCAGACAGTGAAGATTCCCACTGGGAAAGTGAAACACTGTCCTGCTGCACCCCGGGAGAGTGGTTGGGAGAGAAAATAAGCAAGCAGCACCTCCCTCCCCAGGGCCAGCGGAGACCTCCTGGGGTGATTGTCTGCATAAACTGCAGCCCTCGTGGATCAAAGAACAGGGTGTGGTATTGGAGGAGGGAACAAGACAGCTGTGAGCAGAACAGCCAGGTGTGAAGAAGCAAGGATGGGAGGGTGGCGCCCCTGCTATACTTCTAGAAAATACCCTAGAAAATGTAAGATTGAAGTACTTTGTTTTTAGACCCGGGATCTGCAAGTCACAGTTTATGACCAGATCCATTTTACCACGTGTTTTTGTCACCAGTTTACCGGAGCCCAGCCAAGCCATGGGCTTATTATTGTTGGTGGTACTTCTGAGCATGACAGCTGAATGATTATGACAGAAATGGTACAGCTCACAAAATAGTTATCATATAGCCCTTTACAGAAAAAGTTTACTGACTCCTGCTTCAGACGATTTTGGATAACATGATACACTTCTGCTATCATGGTCTTACTGGGTTAGGATTGGAGTTAAAGTAACACGCCTATCTATGGTAAATCACAAACCCAGCATGTGTCACAATGATAGAGTAGAAACTCTAACCATTCTTTGAAAATTTAAGTTGCAGTTACAGAAAGTCTCATCTTTCTGTTGGGAAGGTTTCCTTCATCACTATAGCTGAACGAGATACAGTATATACTTGTGCGTTCATCCTGATGTATCCTCCTGTTATCTGTGGCAGACATTTCTAATCAAGTGCAGCACTGTTTCTTGGGCTCAATTAGGGATGTCTCATTTTGCCCTTGTGTGGCCTCAGAATTCTTCCTACTGTAGAAGGCGCTGCTTGTTCATCTGCTGCGCAAGATGAAGCCTATTTGCTCATGCCTGTGAGGTGTTGCCAAAACCCAGTGTGTGTCACTTTATGGTCTCCTACTGCAGGTCTTATTTTCTCAGCAAGATTTGTAAGACTGTTTTAAGCGTATACTCCTTAAATACACCTAAAGAATCCATCACTACAGTTACTTCTGGTCCCTCAACGTCCTGGTCTTCTCACCGTCCCGTGTCCTAGCTGGTAGTGAGCCTGGCCCTAGCACTTGTCCCGCAGTGAGTTTCCCAGCGTTGACTGACTACATGCCGAGGAGCTTCATGAGGTTTGTGTGGAAGCGGCTTCATGCTGGGGTGATGACCAAGACTAGTTTCAGATTGGTCGTTTTCTAACCCAAAATGGGAATTTCCCAGAGGCCCGGGAATTTTAAGGACAGGAACACACGACTTACATCAAGGGGTAGAAGATAATTCGGTCCACTCTGTGTAGCTGCCCCGTGCGCAGGTGGAGGGCACCCGGGAGCTGCTCCCCAGGCACTGTCGGCATCCTAGTGAAGACGGTTCCGGACAAGTGAATGCTCACAGGAGACAGGGGACTATCAGAACAAATTCAGAGGCAATGTTGGGGCACAGCAAGGGCCTTGGGCGCGGCACTGAAGTCTCACCTGCTTCTGTTGGTTCCATTCAGTTTCAGAAGAATCGACGGGATGTGCTTGCCACCAAATACAAGCTCATGGAAATTGCCAACTATGTTGATAAGGTGAGACCAGGTGTGTACTTTGTGGGAAAGGTGCCAGGACCTGAGAGGGGTTGCAGGACAGGAGGTCGCCTGTGCCTGAGCGGCCTTCTATTGGAGTGGCCTTCCAGTTTCTGAAAGGACATGTGCAGTGCCAGAGAGGCTCAGAGGGGTCAGGACCTCCTCTGAACTCCGCGGCCTCAGGTAAGTAACTCATCTGCCTCAGGTTGTGGTTTTTGATGTTGTCCTTGTTTTGCTTTGTTTTAATTTACCAAGTATGGGCCTAGATCAATAACTTTAGTTATTTTTATTTTTCTGGGGGAATTTTCAAACACGAAATCCTGCCGTACCACCTATGTAAACATCAGATAGAAACAGACTGCTCTAAACTGATTAGAGCCCCACTGTTCTCCGACTGCTTCTCTTCTTTTCAGTGACTTCTGAGGAACCAAGGGCAGGGAAGAGCCCAGTTTAAGGATGTATTGAGATTTTCTAGGGTCTGAGGAGATAGCTCAGAGGCATAAGTACCTGCCTGGCAAGGGCACGGTCCCAAGTTGAATCCACAGTACCAAAAAGAATTAAAATTCTTGAAACTTAAAAAAAAGATTCTCTAAGGTTCCTTCCAAGTATAAAGCTCCTTGGTTCTCTGACTTAGAGGAAATTGAAGCGGGTCCAGGCAGGAAAGATCCACAACCTTAATGGGGAACGGGCTGTTTTGGCCAATCTGCAGTCTCCACATATAACACTGGCCTAGAATTATTTCTTGTCTCTTAGAAAGACTGTGTAAGTGGCTGACTTTCCTAATTCACTACCTTTTACATGATACACTTTAGAAATGCCCAAATTTGAAACTGTTACTCGATCAGACTGGCTTGGGACTTGGAAACATTTTGTATATATAAAAGAGGTTATTTGTTATAATATAAAATGTAAAAAAAAAAATTACCTAGAATGTCAGTAGCTGCTTGACAGATTACTACAGTAATTCTTAAATAAAGTAGCTTTTGATGTGGCTGGAGTGTCTTTGACCCCATGACATGCCTCATACAATTTCAGGATGCTCATAAAGCTTTGCAAGTTCAACTGTGGGCCTGCTAGGGATTTATGGATCCCAGGTCTAAATGCGAAACCATTTTTCAAACATTAGAGGATAGCAAAGAGCGTTTTTAAGGGACCAACAAGCAAATTTGGTAGTACTTTGAGGTCACTAGATGGGAAGCTGGCTGAGCCAAATTTTTGTCCTGTCCTCACTTGCTCTAGAAACACAGGCCACTGGCAAGTGACAGGAGAAAGCCAAACACTGACATTTCGTAAGATAGACCTCCCCCAGACCCGGGGGTTTGCTGGCTCTAGCTCCCAGCCCACTCCACGAGACCACTCTAGTGATCCTGCAACCCAGACATGCAGCATGAGGGGAAGCAGGGGAAGCCTGCCTCCCCGGGGGCTACAGAGAGGGCAGATTCTGCCGTCACCCATGTGACATTGTTCTGAAGACCAGGCAAGGGGGGCTCCTGCCCTGGTGAGGCTTCAGCGGGCATGGTTAAGAGAAGCAGGGCACTGACCAGAACGAAGGCGCATCCACGACAATCGCAATGAAGAAAGAGAAGGAACACGGGGAGGCAGAAGAGAGGCAGCTGCACATCCACGTCTGGGGCAGAGCCTGTGCCTCCTGGCTGGCCGGCTGCCCACCTCTGCCTCTCTCTCTCTCTCTCTCTCTCTCTCTCTCTCTCTCTCTCTCTCTCCCTGAGCTGAGATTAGCCCCTCCCCCAGGGGTGGGCGCAGCACGCCCACAGCCCTGCAGCTCACTGACCCAGCTCCTTGAACTGAAGGATCATTGAACTCAAGCTGGAATGAAGTACACTTGTTTGCTGAATTATGAGCCCCATCCAAAATATTTGCTCTTAACTGTAAGAAAGCCCAACTTCCTTAAAAATCTCCCTAGTGAAGCAAATTCAAACTGAAATCTGAGCCCTTTATTTTCTTTCAAGGTTGGGGTGGCACAAAACAAAAGAAAATGACATTTTATGGAGAAATAAATGGATTTTTTGTGGACTCTTTGGTCCACCATAGGCCACAGTCCTGGGGGCAGGCAAGCGGGTGGCCTGGCTTTGGGATCGCAGGTGGGCCCTGAGGCTGTGATCCACGTCTGCAGCCTGGCTTTGCCATTTCCTGCGGAGACCTTGCCCCGGGTCCTCAGTGCTTAGTGTGTAGAAAGCGCCTGACAAACACTGGTGTCCTGGTTATTATTTTTAGCTGGGGCAGACCCTGCCCATTTCAGATTAAGATAGTCTCTCCTGGGCATGTGACCGCTGTCTACGTAGGTCTTTTTTAAAGCTACTGGCTCACTAGCATCTAGAACAGATGCATCAAAGAGCTACTTATAACCACTTGCCAGTAGCATAGCTATAAGTCGAAGTAGCTCCAGCATGTGACATGACAGGCCCATGTCATAAAGTGCGCGTAGTCTAGGCTTACAGGCCCCTCGGTCAGCTCTTGACTCTCCAACATCA